ATTTCGTGCGTATATTACTTACAGTTCGATTAGTTGAATTTTGTGAGACATTATGTTTCAAATGTTCTAACATTTGAAATTTTTCAGGATGGATTGCCATTTGGACGCAGCCTTGAGACAGGTTTTTGGCAAAGTTACGTCGAACTATAACTTTGTCAGCTTCACAGCAGTGTTGGATTCACTGGACAAGGAGCACGCAGAGATATTACGTCGATCCTGCCTATGGCCCCTGTATTCACTGCAATCTGTACTGTTCTCTAGACAGTTGATCGATTCATTACTGTGTCGACTGCTTAAACCAGTTGATAGAGATGCCCTCCACTTTGATCTTGGGGGCAATGCTGCTATATTTTCTATACTTGAGTTTGCTCATAAGATGATCTCGGACGCTTATAAGTGGTTTCACAACATCACCACTTCGGGGGCTTGGCTCGCCGATAATGTAAGTGAAGTAGTAATATTGTTATTTATTACGTATACATATTTTTGAGTTTTGAATTTATGAAATTAAATAACTCCTTTTTTAATTGGTGTTTCCTGGTGCAGCACATTGACTTCGCCATGGATTTGCTACGAGATCGAGCTGAACGACATCCAAGATCATTCAACATTCCTGGCCTACTCATATTGAACACTGAGTTCATACATGCCGTTGACATTGAGTACCAGACGTTCCAAACTATGGGTAATGAGTACACGGTGCTACATACATGATGGAGTGGGTCGTAGGGATGTGGTCGAGTGTCGGGAGAAAGCCATGAGAGGGTTGTACACATCTGTACATTCCGGTATGTGTCAATCATCACTACATTGCAGTGGAGATTGTATTCGCCGACTCGACCATGTATGTGTATGACCTCGATCATTCATGCCTGACATAAGGTCAGCTCGAGCAAAATCTGTAGTCGATGTCTATGATCATTCCTATGCTGGCTAGACGAGCGAATATTATTATGTAGGACAGACTGACCACCGTGCGGGACACGATGATAACTAGACGACAAATATCATAAGTGTTTATTATTTTATTTTTGTAATTTACAACTTACGTTCCAGTTAGGCGGTGATGTGCTAACAC